GTTAAGTAATTTTATACTTCTAGTTATTATTATTTTGAGAATATTTAATAATAATTTATATTTAAATTTATATTAAAAATATTTCTGGGAGGATAATATATTATGAAAATTAATTAAATCTTTGGAATTTTTGTTTTACCACTTATAATATTATGAAGCCATGTCTTTATCTGCGGCACTGTGCGTTTTTGTAGACATGAATGTTTTTGTCTTAAAGTCTCAATATCTCTTCCAGATGGTAAGCGTGATTTTTCTATTTCTTGAGAAAAATCTGTTAATATTATTTGAATTTCTTTTTGCGTCCATCGCTTCCTTTTAGTTGGCCCAAATGGTGATGCTAGCAATTATATTATTAATTTATTGAATAACTTAGTACAGCTAATTATTATATAAGAAACATATGTATAATTTATAAAATAAAATATTAATAATATAAAATGTTTACTTAATATGCAGTCCAAAATCAAATGCAGGAAAGATTATTAGCTCATTCTTGAAATCATTTTAAAATAAAAATCTTATGATATTAAAATCTTTAGGCTAAAATAGTTTTTAAATGAGAAGCATTTAAAGTTATTCAATCATCTTTATTATTGTACGATGTACAGTGACTGTACAGTATATAGTTGACTGAATAGCGCAATGACTAGCTAACTTTTAATGTTTTAAAACTTATTATAGCCTCGATATTTTGTTATAGGATTTTCATCTCAAAATGATTTCAAGAATATGCTAGTAACATTTGATACGTTTACTCTAGGACACTTTGCATATTAAAATAATGTTAAAGTTATTAGTTAAGATAAATATTAAAGAAAAGGTTATCATTTTAGTAATTGTAATAATTACAGTTATTATTTTTTTATAGAAAGAGAGCTATTATATATTATTAATATATTATAAATGTAACAGAAATTACAAAATAAAAATTTTATTATATAATGCAAAAAATGATTTAAAATATATGCTTACTGCTTCGTTTTTTCTTAGGTGTTTTTGATGATGGTATATTATTATTAATTTCAATATCATCAGAATGAGAGGATTCAGATGAGTCATTTAAATTCTCAGAAATAAGATTTTGCTCAATTTCTCCATCTTCATTGTCATTTTCCTCATTAAAAATAGCTAGATTTAGAAGTCGGGAGAATCTTGGAATATCTAATTCAGGAATTGACTGTCGATAATGCGATTTGTGTATGCTTTTATCATGACCCATAAAGTTTGCCAACTCTGTAACTTCCGATTCTGAAAGATTAAGTGTGATGCATTTTGTGGCAATATGTTTTCGTAGTTTGGTGCCTCGTAAAGTAAGAGGTTTTGCTGCTCCACATTTTGAAGAATAGTCTCGCATAAGAATGCACGCTTTCAAATGCTTATATCGATGTTTATCGTATCCAGGAATGCCAAAAAGGTAAGGGTTTTCTGATTTTATTTTTGCATTTAATCTATGTTGCAGTAATAATTTGATGCAATCTTGTAATTGTGAATGCAACAATACGGGAACTGTACGACCTAGTTTACCTCTAATATCAAATGTAACGAATTTTTTAATAGCCTAATACAACAAACAGAAAAAAATACATAAAAGAAAAATTATTATAGAATAAATATAATAAAAGTATTATAAATTTTATGCATTAAAATTAATAAAATATAAATAATTTAAAGGAAGAAAAATATAAATTATTAGATATAAAATATATTTTAACGCAATAATTTATTTATTTAATAATTATTAAAATAATATTACCTCTTTTCCAGACTCTGATAATGAATTGTACACTTCAGAATCTGTGTGTTCTCCTACACTTTTAAAACTTTTGTAATCTTCTATTAGAACTTTTTCTATTTCACCTGCTCTTCTTCTGTTATAAACTTGCATAGAAATAAGCGTAACTTTTAATAATTCTAACCATGTACTGTAATTATAAGATTTAAGAAGCTCACTATACAATATGTTTCTTTCTTCTTTTAAATAATTATATAATTTCTGGATATCCTCCATATCTGGTAATTCAATTTTATTATGTCTTTTATTTTGCGTTACAGTTTCCTCTGCTATTTTATTTATTGTTGCTCCATAATCTTCTTCTAAAAGTTTCAAGAAATTTTCTACCTTTCTTAAACCCTCATTATCATCTTTTTTTATATATTCAGTACATAATATGTTTCCTAATTTTTTTAAGAGCGTACCAAGTCGTGTAGCGACAGACGGTGTTTTAAATTTATTAGTATCAGGATTAAATTGAGCTACATCTTTAGCAGCTAAAATGCATGAATCATAATTGCACGGTTGATATATTGAGGCAAAATTAGTGATATTTGAATTAAATTTCTTAATAGAAATTAAGTAACGACCTAAAAGTCTTAATTCTGCTCTTATCATATCATGGTGGCGTTGATTCCTAAATTTATTACATAATTTATTTGCGCGAAGTATCACTAACTCATCATATCTTATTATTCTACACACATTGTCATCTCTCATAATTGGGAAGATTACTTTTCTAACCATATCACTGGCTTTAGTGTGTATCCGTGCTTGTACTTTTCTACCAAGTACCATAACATGTCTGCCAATACTTCTTTTGTTACAATTTTGAAAGTGATGTCTTACATTATTTTTTGTATAAAAGCCCTTACACTTTGGACAACAAATATATTCTGATGCAAGTTTGTTAATTTTCGAAGGTCTCCGAGATACTATCAATTCTCCTGTATTAAACTGCGAACTAGTATTATATATAAAATTACTTTCTTTTCTAATAGTCTCTATGATGGCCTTTCTTTCTGAATTACCTAAGAAAAATAATATAAAAATAAAAGAAAAATAATATAAACATTTTTTAATAAAGATATGTATAATGCAACATTTGATTCAAAATGATGTGTATAGATTATTATATATTATATTTACCTTTAGGAAGCAAAATAAATTTTTTTACCTCTTCCTCATTTTTATGAACAGTCTCTAAGTGTCGTGCAAATTTAGTTTGTAATTTTTTGCAATACTTGCAAAAATATTTTTTATTTTGTCCTTTCTCTTGAGATTTAAGCACAATAAGATTTGTATCATCACAATTTGCTTTTTCTTCATATTTCGAGGTATTAAGACTATCATTTGTAGTATTAGACTTTTCATTTTTATCAAAGCTTTCAAAAATAGAAATATTTGATTCATCATCTGAATCATTGGAAACATCATAATCTGGATCATTATTGTAATCCTCACTGTCTTCATAAATATTGTCTGAAATCAAAATGTATAATTTTTGATGTAATACGTAATGAATATACATTAATATGTTATATTAATGTATAATAGATATATATATATATATATATATTATGTGTAATAGATATATATATATATATATATATATATATATATTATTTTCAATATCAATAATTATATCAAAGATGCAAAAGAGAAAAATAGAATACTTAGAATACTTAAAATACTTAAAAATAAATTTCAAAACTATTATACATGCTATATGTTTATAGAGAGCTTTCTATAATATTATTAAAGTTATGAAAATTTTTAATTGTAATTATTTATAAACAGATACCTTATAAGTTCTTCAAAAAGTTCAATAAAATAAAGAATTTAATCTAATTTATTAAATTATCTGTTTGATTAATTTATCTTTATTTACATATAGTTCTTAAGGATTTTTTAAAGATTTTGCTCGTGTATCTAATATCAAAACTTTGGCATGACATTATATAACAAAATATACATACATATTAATCTATTAATAATACATTATATTAAAATAACCATATTATGTTCGTTATAAAATTATATGTAACAACGTTTAATTTGGAAGCAAATAGATATAAATTGTATTGTTACCTTGTTGATTAACTGTTGTTATTTGACAAAGTTTTAAAGTTTTATTTTGAATATTGTCTTCTGCAACGTTAGAATTAATACCTACGAGAATAAATCATAATAGATTAACTAGTACATACATACTAGATTAACTAATTAGCAATAATTTTTTAACTATAATAATTAAATAAAAAAAGTTTCTCTCTCACACATATACACACTCTTTTGTATAAATTCATTATATCCATACAATTTATGTGACATATGACCACTCTAGTTTACATAAAAACAATTAAATTATTATACAATACTTTACCATTGGAGTCATTTATTATTTCTGTCACTTCCTTATATTGAGCATTTATTTCTACTAAAGTAGTAAAAGATGAATTCAATATATGTTCCAAAGAGATATCCTCGTTCATAGAAAAATTAATATTTAAATCTAAAAAATTATTAAAATTCATGATAAATTTGCTTGTAAATTAAAATATTTAATTAATATTGTAATATTAATTAAACAAGTTAACTTCAAAATGAAAATAATAAACTGAATATGAATTATAAATATTATTTTGTAGATAGGCTGTTTCTTCTTTATTTAAAATTTAAAATTTCCAAAAATTTATTCAAAAATACAATTGTAACAAAATTAGTATCATTATTATCAAAAATGGATATAGAATATTTATATTTATATGTAATAATGCTTAGAAAAATTAATATTTAAATCTAAAAAATTATTAAAATTCATGATAAATTTGCTTGTAAATTAAAATATTTAATTAATATTGTAATATTAATTAAACAAGTTAACTTCAAAATGAAAATAATAAACTGAATATGAATTATAAATATTATTTTGTAGATAGGCTGTTTCTTCTTTATTTAAAATTTAAAATTTCCAAAAATTTATTCAAAAATACAATTGTAACAAAATTAGTATCATTATTATCAAAAATGGATATAGAATATTTATATTTATATGTAATAATGCTTATCATGCAGTTAAACATAACATTTCAATATTTAAATTAGTTATATTACCTGTATTATCAATTGTTTTATCATTTAGTATTTCAAAAAGATTAGTTTGAGAAATACTTGGTTGAACATCTAAAAAATGAACTAATACCAAATAATGTTATTATTTTTCTGTGCATGTTATTTTTATGAAGAAATAAGTTTATATAAACATGAATCAAAACGCATACCTTGTTGATTATTTTTTTCTGGAGATATTTCAGAAATATTTGGTTGAATATCTAATAAAGGAACTATAATTATTCCAAATGATTGATAATTAATATTTTTATGAAAAGAATATTAAATAAAAGATAGATAAATATCTCAACTACATACTACTTTTCTACGCATATTACTTTTATGAAGAAATAAGTTTATATAAACATGGATCAAAGCACACACCTTGATGATTACTTTTTTCTGGAGATATTTCAGAAATATTTGGTTGAATATCTAAAAATGGAACTATAATTATTCCAAATGATTGATAATTAATATTTTTATAAAAAAAATATTAAATAAAAGATAGGTAAATATCTCAACTATATGCTACTTTTCTACGCATATTACTTTTATGAAAAAATAAATTTATATAAACATGGATCAAAGCACACACCTTGATTACTTTTTTCTGGAGATATTTCAGAAATACTTAGTTGAATATCTAAAAAAGGAACTATAATTATTCTAAATGATCGATAATGAATATTTTATGAAAAAATCTTAAATAAAAGATAGCTAAATATCTCAGCTACGTATTGCTTTTCTACGCATATTACTTTTATGAAGACATAAGTTTATATAAACATGGAAACATATCAAAGCGCATACCTTGTTGATTACTTTTTTCTAGAGATATTTCAGAAATATTTGGTTGAATATCTAAAAAAAGAACTATAATTATTCCAAATGATTGATAATTAATATTTTTATAAAAAGAATATTAAATAAAAGATAGGTAAATATCTCAGCTACATACTACTTTTTACGCATATTACTTTTATGAAGAAATAAGTTTATATAAACATGGATCAAAGCACACACCTTGATGATTACTTTTTTTTGGAGATATTTCAGAAATACTTAGTTGAATATCTAAAAAAGCATAAATAATTATGGCAAATGATTGATAATTAATATTTTATGAAAAAATACTAAATAAAAGATAGGTAAATATCTCAGCTATATGCTACTTTTCTACGCATATTACTTTTATGAAAAAATAAGTTTATATAAACATGGATTAAAGCACACACCTTGATTACTTTTTTCTGGAGATATTTCAGAAATACTTAGTTGAATATCTAAAAAAGGAACTATAATTATTCTAAATGATCGATAATGAATATTTTATGAAAAAATATTAAATAAAAGATAGCTAAATATCTCAGCTACGTATTGCTTTTCTACGGATATTACTTTTATGAAGAAATAAGTTTATATAAACATGGATATCAAAGCGCATACCTTGTTGATTACTTTTTTCTAGAGATATTTCAGAAATATTTGGTTGATTGCTTTTTTCTATATTTCTTAACAAATTAGCATCAATATCTAAAAAATAATTTGTATATTTTTAGAAGAAATAAAATTGATATAAAAAATAATATAATGATATAAAACTTTTTGTCACCTTCATTACTTTCCATAGAACTTGAAGTGATACTTAAGTCGATTTGTTTTAAATATATTTTTGGTATATTATTCCTCAGATTTTTAGCAATTTCTTCAAGAGCCATATAACTTTCTTAAAACAATATTTGTATACAAAATTATTACTTAACAAGTATTATCCAGTAAGTAACAGTAATATAACCTCAATGTTATAATTTCTCACTAACTGTTACATAGATAGAAGGCATATTACATTGTTGCAGTTACAATAATAGTCAGTAGAAAATTATAACATAGATGTTATGTTATTATTTAGTATTTAATGTAATTTAGTTAGTATTTAATGTTTACTGGATACATAGATATAATTACATATATAAAATTTTACATAATTTTATCTACTTACTACTAGATATTATCCATCCTCTGGTTTTTCTTTTTTTTTTACGCATTATTTTATAATTATTTTTATTTTTGCTCAAAGAATACATTGTGTAACACTGTGTCTCACAAATTAAAAGAGGTTATTTTACTATCTATTTCTTAGGCTGCATTCAGAAACTACACTCAAAACACAGTGACAGCTATAACGCGGCAACACTTGCTACGCGGCAAAAAACGATGCGATAGTCAATCAACTTACAATTTTTCCATTTATTTTATTTTTTCCATTTATTTATTTAGTATTTATTCTTCTAAGATCGACACTTAGGCCCGTATTCATAATCCGTTGTTATATTTAAGATCATCTTAAGACCTCGTTCAATCAATCAAATGGCCGCATAGCATCTTTTGATTGGTTGAACGATGTCTTAAGACAATCTCAAATATAAGAACGGATTATGAATACGGGCCTTAATGAGTTATTAGAAGTTCGTAAGGTCTTAATGAATTATTTAAATCACATGGATGTATGAAAAGCAAAAGTATTAAAAGATCTGGCGCAAATGATAGGTTTATATAATATATACAGTAAAATGGTAGTTTACAGATCAATTAGTTTTTAACAAAAAAATATCAAAATGTTTAAATATTGATCTTATTTTAAAACATCTTTAATTATTTTTCTTTAAAAACATACTAAAATTATAATTTTTACTTAATTATTTATTTATATTTGCAAAGATGTCTAACGGCAGTTTTAAAAACATATATAGCAAAGTTGATTAAAAGACTATATATTTACTTTATATAAGATTAATCAAGTAATTAGTACTGTAACTAAATTGTTTATAAATATATACAACATATATAAAGCTTATCTTGTAAATAATAACAATTAAATGTATTTAGTATAAAATTTTTATATTTATTGGCAATTTTAAGGACTTTATATAAAGAAATTAAAGAATGGTAGTTTTTAGGACAGTTCCTAAAACTGCCGATAAACATATATGGCTTTCAGGACTGACTTGAAAACCACCAAGAGTTCTCAAAACTGCCGATTTATACCAAAAATCGTCCCGAAAGCTACCTCTTGACATACATATATATATATATATATATATATATATATATATATACTTACAATCTCGGTTCCTCATATCTGACTCCTCCATTTCTTGGTTCGAATCTGATTCCTGGAGATGCTTATACCATCTCTCAACATTCTCAAAACACCTCGAATGATCTTTTACCGCGTTCTCCATTTTTTCGATGTCTGGCACTTATTCGCACGTGTTACACTTGTAACCTCAGTCTATTTTCGCTGACATTTGCAGCAATCCCTGATCATCGGTGCTGGACCGTCAATATGCGTTCGCATCCACGGCCGATTGTAGTGTTTGAGGCAGCGACGATATGTCTGAACCTCCGGATCCGTCTTGATATGCTCCGGAAGCTTGTCCCACAAATGTTCTACGAAATAGCCGCACTTTTGCAGTAAAACAATCTTCGGAATATATTGCAACTGTTCGGCACTTAAACTGAGAATGTCGGAAGCACTTGAAAGTATTACAAACATTTTGAATGAAGAGAGCGTGCGCTCGCCAGTGGTACTATGGCCCGGCAGCTGCATCGGTCCTCATTATATATCCCGATCATCCCTTTGTTCGTGGGGATGATGATGCAATTGTTAATTCGCGAGAAATATTTATGTGATATCTTATCTTCGGAGAAAATTTAGATATCGCTGATAATTCTTAGAAATACATAGATAAGGCCGCCATTTCATTTCACCCCGTCGGATCGACACGTCGCGCAAACATGTCGCAACCTGTATGTATCAACCCGCTTGATTGTCGGCAAACCTTTTGTTCTTAATAATTCGCAGAATTATCTTATCTTATCTTCGGAGAAAATTTAGATAAAGAAACGCAACCCCCTTAGTAATAGATATCTGAATGTCGGCGCTCGATTGATCCAAGCTTGGATTTTGCGGCAGCCATTCGCAGAATTTTTATCTTATCTTGGATTTTCGGAGAAAATTTATGAAAACTTTGATACCGCTCAAAGACGCCGCTTATCTTATCTTTGATACCTTACAAAGACGCCGCTTATCTTATCTTATCTTAAAACAAATCATATATAGTAGGCCAACTAAACGAGCAAATAAATAAGGTGTAAAAATTTTTATTAATAGTTAAATAATTAAATTAACATTCCGTTACAGAATCGATATAAATTGTAAACGTTTCGACTGCACTACAGTCTTTATCAATACATAAAAGTTAAATATTAAAATACAAAGTTAAATGTTAAAAATACAACGTTGGTTAAATATTAAAATATAAAATTGAAACGATTCTTCGCTGTTGACCAATAGATATGCAAGGCGATTGGTCTGAGATGCCAAGTTATGCGACATTTGAGCATGATTATCGTTTTAACAAGTCCTTTTCCCCGATATTTCAAGTGTGTGTTGCGAAGTCTGAATACCAAATGTGACATTTGGTATTCAGACTTCGCAACACACACTTGAAATATCGGGGAAAAGGACTTGTTAAAACGATAATCATGCTCAAATGTCGCATAACTTGGCATCTCAGACCAATCGCCTTGCATATCTATTGGTCAACAGCGAAGAATCGTTTCAATTTTATATTTTAATATTTAACCAACGTTGTATTTTTAACATTTAACTTTGTATTTTAATATTTAACTTTTATGTATTGATAAAGACTGTAGTGCAGTCGAAACGTTTACAATTTATATCGATTCTGTAACGGAATGTTAATTTAATTATTTAACTATTAATAAAAATTTTTACACCTTATTTATTTGCTCGTTTAGTTGGCCTACTATATATGATTTGTTTTAATTTGTTAATTTATACGAGCCTTTCATTAATTAATTTATCTTATCTTGTTTATGAACATATCAGGTAACATGATCCCCTTATCAGGTAACATGATTCCCTTATCAGGTTATCTGATATGTTTATAAACAAAAGATAAGCTTATCTACTGATAAGACCCCCTTCCCCCGCGTGACGTCACCCCCCTTGCCCCCGATTCCCCCCCGCCCCTCACCCCCCCTCATTGCCCCCGGGTTAGAACTCTCCTAGTATACCTACTTTCTTCAGTCTAGAAAAATCAATTTTAAAGAAAGTAGTTGCGACGAAAGATTGAATGAACTTTGCACTTATATGAATCAATTACCGATTGATACAATTTGTCTATTGCCCACGTGTTATTTGTGCAAGGTTTTGAACACAGCAATGCTCGATAAAATCGACAGCGATGAAATTCTACTGATAGCAGAAGATGATGTCGACTGAGCTCCAGCAATGAAAAAAAAGGTGCATAAAATTTTAGAAGACAAAGATGATAAAGTGTCTGAAACAGCTGGCATTGAAAGAGTAATAGCGATTAAAATTGGCGCTAAAGTGATGATTCGACGAAACATTGACGTAACTTTGGGACTTGTCAATGGAACGATAGGCAATGTAGTTGCAGTTAATCGCTCTGCTGACGGCAATCGTATTGATTCCATCAAAATAGTTATTTCGGATAACAAAGAAATCGCAATAACGAAAGTAGATATTAAATTTGAAGTATTCCACAAATTAGTGGTACATCGGAAACAATTTCCATTGTCTCTCAGTTATGGAATAACTATACACAAAAGTCAAGGAATTACATGTAACAATGCAATGATGGATTTAGGAACGAATGTATTCAGTGATGGTCAAGCCTATGTAGGTTTGTCACGAGTAAGTAAATTGGAAGGCCTACATTTGATAAATTTCAATCCAGCATCAGTTAAAGCAAACTCGAGAGCCATTGTAGAATATAATCGACTGAGATCTATATTCAAATCTGAACTGCCACAAATCAATCCGTCCGAGGAAAAGGTTGTGAAAATGTACGATCGTCGATGGGCTATCCCTAATATCATTGATGATGTGCAGAATTATGATTGTGAGGAACCAGAAAGTATAGTTACGTGGAAAATATATGGTCTTTGCAATAACGATGCTGTTTCGTGTTACGCTAATGTAATATTACAATGTGCGTTTCATTGCGTACGTATTAGGCAACAAATACTGAAAAATAAAGCATCGAATGCATTGACTGATGCCATCTGCGCGTATGGTGAACGTAAATATTGCAACATTCAAGCGGTTAGAAGATCTGTCGGAAAACGCTTCGAAGAACGAACACAACAAGTTGTTTCGGAATTTTTTACGGCTCTAATGTCGACGTATTCCGACATCAATGATGTATTAGAACTCGAATTAAAGCACGTAACATGTTGCTCGAATGTCAAATGTAATTACAATGTAACTAAGCTGGAAAGCAGTAGTTTGTTAATATTACCTATACATTCGACATTAAAAAGGAAAAAAGGTGTCACTCTACAAAGTTTGATTAATGTAGAATTTTCTAAATGGAAAACGATAAACGGCAATTGTAACGAATGTAAGGGTACCGTGTTGAAAAAGAAAACCGTAATCGAATCAACTTTATCCGTCGTAGTAATACAGCTCAATTTATATACTTTTGTAAACGGTGCTTCTAAAAAAATTATCAACAATCGGATTACCGCCGTGCCGACGAGTAATATCACGATTAATAAAAAAAGTACAAGGTAATAAGCGCTATATTTCACGAAGGTGAAGAAATGAATCGTGGTCACTACACGTGTATGTTGAGAGCTGACACAAAATCGGAATGGTATTACTCTAATGATATGGAAGTGTTCAAGAAAAAATGGCCCAAAGGAGCACAAGGGGCATACATATTGTTCTTAGAACAGATTAAATAATGGCGCTGTATAAAGGCTGCCGTAAACGCTACATTAAAACATCAACTGTTCTAGTACTGTATAAAAGTTGCCGTATGTGCCAAAATAAAATATTGGCTGCTCTGGCGCTTTATAAAAGCTGCTGTAAGCGCTGCATTAAAACAAGTGCAATAAGTTTCTTATTTGACCTAGGCTTCATGACATTTCAAAAAGTATCATCAAGAAAAAAATTATCAGACAGAAATATGTATGTCGTGTTAAAATCGGAGAGACGAAGAAAAATATATGGTTGCGTTCTCACGAGAATGGGCGATGGAGGGGCCCATTCTTTATTTTCAATATTTATACAAGAATATAAATTCATTCTGTTACAATTGAAATAAATGTGCAATGTATCGTTAAAAGTTATTACAATTATACAAACATTTACATATATGATTAAATAAAATATATATGTATACTATAATATAATTATATATTTTATATATGTACATATATACCATATATTTCAATTATTTTGAACTGTATTGCATAAATTGTTACTTATACAAAGTTATGTGATAAGAATCGAAAATATGTCGTGTTAAAATCGGAGAGACGAAGAAAA